CACGTTCCATCTAGCAAAAAGGTTGGGAAACAAACCAATATCTTTAAAATTGTTTGACTTTATTGACTTTAAAATAGTCTTCTGATGTGCACAGCAGAAGGCATTGAGCCCAGTGGTATTTATTTATAATTTAAACTTTATGCTTGGCAGAATTTCTTCTCTTAATGTGCCTGGACCTAACTGCATCATGCAACACCTCATGTTTTACCAAGAGGCAATCCACCTCAAAAACCAGACAGTTTTGTATGAGAGATGACTGTTTTCTGCAGAATGGAAAGGCAGGCAGAATGACATCTAGTTATTGGTTCCTTAGTCCATAATGTGCCAGACCGAAATCTCACGGAGACAGGTGCACCTGCACAAATGCATATGTAGGCTGGGTAACTGTATGGACAAAAATATATTCTCTCCACAGACTGATGCGGATCTAAAACCACCTTTTCCAGTTGTCTTATCCTTCTTTTACCGCCACGATGGGCGTAATCTACAGCTAATTCAACCTCATTATGCAACTCCTACCTAAAAGGTACTTCAGAGCAGTCCCTCTCCGAGGCTGAACCAACCAGCTCCCCTTGATGAATATTCCCATCCAACCAATGTCCAGCTGCAGGAGTCAATCCACTATCTCCTGGGACTGTACACTTCAACCTGTCCCCCTTCCCATTTGCCAGAGTCCCTTCAGTCCCTTTAATCTATTCCCAGCCCAACCGCTGCCTAATGTCTCTCACTACCTGTACTCATACCAACCTGTCTCCAAGTTGCAAGACCCCTTCCACTGCAACCAATCCAGACAACAGTCCCAAGCCATCCTGCCTCCCACATGCAGGAAATTTTCCATACCCAAACTACTATTTAGAAATGTACTCAGTTCCCTCCACCCCACAAACCGAGTACACCTGGAAACTGAGGGCTCTATCAGGGAATCGTTTAGTGTTGTAAAGGTTAAATCAATGGTTCAACTGAAAACTCTAAGATCATCAATTATCTGTACATATTCTGCTGTGAGAGTTTGTGGATGCATGTAACACAGTTCTCACAGCAGTAAGTGAATACACAGGAATAGCAATGCTAAACTCCTGAATGATGGTATTAAATCTCAAACAGCCTTGCTTTCAAACTGTTCTGTCTGAGACATGCAGGAGGTTATGTCATAAAAACAGTCTGTCTTTCAGCCTTTTCTGACCATTCAGGCACCCCCATACACACACACACCCCATGGATTTTATGATGTATCTTTGAGGGCCAAGCATTTTTGAAGACCGAAAACAAGTGGTTTTTTATAATGGGGGCAGCTGTACTGAGATTTAATGATGCTGGAATCTAAGATAAGGAGGTCTCTCTTAGGCAATTCACTTAACATTTCTGCCTCACTTAACCCATCTGTAATAAGGGGGTAAAATACTTATTTACCGCTCTCTTAGGCTGTTGTGAGGATTACTTAATATGTGTAAAGGATCTGTATATAAAGCTGTACATACATGTGAAATCTTATCCAGGACCATACTCGGGCCATGTAAGTTCTGATTATATCACTACTTTCATTGTAAGCCTTCTATTTTCAGGGATTTACAGATATCTTGGGTTTAGAAATTCACTCAGGGCTGATATTTAGTCTTCACGCTTTTAGCATGGGAAATTGCCTAAAAAAAAAAATCAATCTGGACATATTTAAATATAATTAACATTTAGGTTATTTTAAAAGTTAACCAAGACATTTGTGTTGGAATTCTGTATCCTTTACACCAGACTTGATGTAACACAAAGGATTGCCAATAGCAACGCAGTTAATGTCTTTCCTACATAGTTTTGAATATGCAGAGTAACTGTCCTGAATACCCTATGTAGGAACACCAACACTGTCCTACTGGATCAGACCAGTGCTCCATAACCCTGGATCCTGCCTCTGACAGTGGCCAGAAACAGACACTTCAAAGGAAGGTGGAAAGAAGAAACCACATAACTGGCAATTATGGAATAACCAGGGGTTAGAGTAAGGGGGAGCAGAGGACAGCTCCCTCTTCTTTCCCTGACCTGGGCAGGTACTGCTCTCCCACAGCATCCTCTGCTCCTTGGCAGGTGCAGTGAGAATACTCCTCTTCCTGTTTCCATCTTCTATAACCACTAGGTATAAACCTTTTCCAAGTTCATCCCGATCTGGATTAGAACTTTTCCAAAGTTTTGGAATGTCTGGATCTAGGGCTTTAGTTTAACAGTTCATACAGGCCTGGAGCATCTTCTCTTGAAATGTGCATCGAGAGAACCTTTGCCAGGAGGGCTTCCCCTTGTGAGGATGGAAGTAGGGATGGTGCATGCCTCCACGTAAGTGTTTCACTATGGTACCCTGTAGATGCCTCTCCAGTGGGGGTCCTCAGGAAAGGGGTTCCACAGGGTTTTAATGGGAGGAGGGCATGCAGCAGGGGATCCAGCTATGCTCTGTGGCAAAGTCCTCTGCAGAGCCCCCATTTCCAAATGCAACCCAGGAAGGAGTTAATAGAGCTAGAGTAGCCATACAGGGACAACGCTAATGGCAGTCCAGGTCCTGAAGGAGCTCTTGTGGCAGAGGAGAAGGAACCCCCTGATAAGTCCCTGGGATTCAATGCCCCAAACACTTGTCTCCTTTAGAGGACAATTTCCAGGAAGTTCCTGCTCCTTTGTCCTCCCACAAGTACGGCCATGAGAGGGAGGCAGAGGGGCTAGCTGCAAAGCTCAAATTGTCCCAAACTTGAGGGAAAGATTGGAGGGGCTTGGTGCTGGGCTGGCTTAGGTTTATATCCAGTACTTTCTAGTCACTCCTATTTGTCTGGTAGAAAGTAAGGACCAAATTCGTCCATGATGTAACTGCAATGTCTTCAAAGGGAAACGTTACATGCTCAGCAACTCTGAAAAATCAGGCCACTTTTATTTAAGTGCCTGAATATGGATTTAGATGCCTTATTTTAAGCAACCAAGTTTGGAAATTTTGGCTCAGATCCTCAAAGGTATTTAGGCTTCTACCTTCCACTGAAATGGACCTCTCTCCCTAGTTATACTGGGCCTGATCTAACTCTCATTAAAGCAGTTGTAAATATATTCATTGACTTTAATGGTATATGAATTAAACCCTTAGTAAACATATAACCACATAATAAAGACGCCAGACAAGCTGGCACAATTTGACTATCTCTGAATTGATCCATGGAGGCAGAGTTATGTGGGGAAGTATGCACAGAAATTGTCAACACAATGCTAGGCTCCAGGCAGCGCAATCAGTCTCTCACTCTCCCGAGCGATGGAAATTAACCTCCCAACCAGTGAACAATAGAAAAGACTTTAAAAAGAAAATGAATGAAAAATGTTTGAATAATAGAGAAGCTGTGACAGAAACTGACAGACGCCAGATAATTCCATTGGATTCTATATCCTGGCTTCTGTCATCTTGTGTCACAGCCTTAATGATATTTAACCCTGGTTTTGTATTCAAACACAATTATTGCAGGAGATGGGATGCATGGATTCCCTATTCTTTTATTAGGGATTTGTAATAACAGACTGCCCTACAATTTCGTGATGTGATGCCAACACTTCAGCAAGGGGCTCCCAACAACGCTTTCCCTTTTAGCTTGTAATAAACAACATGCAGAAGAGGTGCATGTGTTGCACCCAGGAGGGCTAGTGGACCGGGGAAAATGTGCTCTCATAACCATAATCAAAGAGGGAGGTGGCCGTGCTTGGAAATCAAATTTGGATGGAGCTGCACTTTGCTTATACTTTCCCTGCAACACATTCTTTGAGTAGGTTGGTTTTTCAGGATACAACTCAACATGCCTAATCTGAAGAGGGTCTGGAGGATGAGGGCCTAAACAGGAGTTGGAGGTATCTTCACTGGGGGCATTTTATATCGCACCTGCCATTTGGTGCAATCTGGTCCATTCCAAAACAAAAACAAACCAAAAAATTAAGGACCTTCTCTAACGCACGCTGAAGCTAATGGGGGTCTTTCCACTGACTTTGGATTAGGCCCCAAAGATGATTTAGAAGAGAGGGGGTGTAACTCCATCAGAGACGAAGAAATCATCCCAAACTTCCCTTTGTTGTCTAGAAATGTAACTCATCACAGAGATCCTCTGCTGGCAGATCACTGCCTTCACTTCCAATTCCCACAGACTTATATAAACACCCACAGAAATAGAATTTCACCTGCATTAAGAATACTTTAAAAAATTATCATAACAATGCAGTAATGCAGGGCAGGCTGACCCAGCATTCTGTCCTGGCCTCAAAGTAGTTTGTGCCTTCTCTTAATGGTCCTTTTACACTCCACACAATACAGACACTTTAGTCTGGGCTACATTTTCCTCTCCAGGAAAATGTCAACCTTTCCTCTCTACATCATCTTCCTCCAGGCCGATTTCCCCGCCCCACTCTGCTGAACTGCATTTAGTGCCCTGTCAGATTGTTAGAATGCCCCATAATGCACAGCACTGTGCCAGCACTACAGATAGATGCAGCTGCAGGTGCAAACCGGGAGGAAGAGGTTTGTGTTACAGGCAGGCCAGGCATGTCAAAGAGAGACCTAGGCCTGGTATGACCATCTCTCATTCAGTGTTTCTCATGGGGGTGAGCAAGCAGGGGTAAAGACTGTCAATTCTGAAAACTGTTTTCACCCACTAAGGAGCAACTCAGAATAAAAAGTCTGTGGGAGATGGGGGAATAAGGTAGCCTAGTCAGGCGATGAGTGATCATTCAGACTTCGTCAGTTTCCTGGTAACTGGACACTAATCAACTTGGAGGTTGGTAATTATCTATAAAAATTCCCTGGTGCTTTGAACTGGTAACCAACTTTACCGCCTGCAGAGTAAAATTATGTATTTATCTGTTACAAATACTCCCAGAGACTGTGATGGGGGAGGTATTTTTAAAATAAAAATGAAAGTTAAAATATGCATTTAATTTTAAAATAGATTTAAAAAAGCCCTCTGAGTGTGAATAATAGTGGAGCATACAATCATAATAAAGGATACTGAAACTCCGGTCTGTGATTGCTAAGTGCCAGAGGTTAATCCTGAGATCATCAGCTGACATGTATGTCTCACAGTCGCTGTTGACAGAAATTGAGTTGACATGATAGGTGTGACCATTAGCAAAGATTCTCCTGGGGGTGACTTCTACCATCAAATCCATAGGTTTCAATACAGGCACCTACAAAAAAAAAATTAAATACAAATTTTAAAAGTAATTTCTGTGTATATGTTGAGAAACTCAGCATAGCGCAGGGAATGAGATATAACTACATTTTAAATAATTTACTGCATTTCTTTCACTGCTTTATGCCTCATCAAAAACTGTCAAGTGACAAAAAGGCTATAATTTTTCTGATCCATAATAAATTAAGTCTTTGAAAACAAATGCTAGATATGTATAGGCCGGCTGTACATAGATTATTATCGCTCATTATTTGTATTATCATAGCACCCAGCAGCCTAATCATGGAGCAGAAACCCACTGTGCTAGACCCTGTACAAACACATAAAGATGGTCCCTGCCTCAAAGAGCTTACAATTGACTAGCTAGACTAAATGGATGGTAATTTTTTTACACGCTTTTCATGGAGGTTACTACACTATAAAATATTTGCTGCTGAGAGAAATCAGGGATTCTAGACAATATTTTAGGACCTAAAGCTCCAATCCAGGATATAGGACTACTCACATGAGTAAAGTTATGCACATGCTTAAATCCTTTGCTGAAGTAGGGCCCAAGAGCATATACTTTATCAGTCAGAGGACAGCTGGACATTGGACAAAGAATTCTCACAGAGCCCAGTAGCTCACCTGTAGTGATGTTACGGTAGACAGATCTTTAAGTTTCCCTTCTTCATCTTTTAAGTTGTATCCCTCTGGTCTCTTATCTCGTTCAGTAACTTTCCATAATTTGATAGTTTTATCTTTTAAAAAAAGAAACCAGAGTTTCTATTAGCCAGGAGACTTTGAACTCTGTTACTCACCTTTAAGATAATAAACACTACCGAAACAGAGCACTCACCTAAACTCAATTTTGCAACTCAGACCCACTTTTCTAACTGCAAAACTGCTGACTCATGAAGGGTTTACTGAATCTACAAGAGACTCAGCCTGTTCTTGCCTGCTAACAAAATTAGCAGAAACTGCTCTCAGAGCCCTGCTCCGCACTTAATAGGGGGAGTGGACCAAAACTGCTCACTGTAGAAGGCACGCCCTTGAGAACCTATGTCCCTCCCCCATGAAAGGTGCACAGCCGTGCAGTTTGGTCTAGTTTGCTGGGATATTCAGAAGCAACGCCATAGGAGTATTCGGTGGATGGGTTGTCTAGCTGATGAACAGCCTGTTGCAAGAATAGGCAAAAACTTATTATCTTTACCTCACAGGCTCATGCAGAGAAAAGACCAGGGAAGGACGGCGGCTATATTTAGGAGTTCCTCATCTCCAAGAGAGAGGCATGGACAGAAGAGCAGCAGCAGGGAGATACAGAGAGAGAAATTCTAAAGGAGAGGAGTGGGGAGGAAAAAGGACACTAATGTTCTGGGAGTTGATAACCATTTCAAACCCTTCCTCTGAACGCACTGGCTGGGTGTGCATGACTTTTATGCTGCTCTCTAGTGGCTGGCTCCTACAGAGGCTATGGGACCTACCACTAATGTCAGCTGAGGAACAATCCCTTCAGTTCAAGTGGTAGAGGCCTGTACATTTTTTTTTTTGAAGCTGAGGGATCAGGGCTCTATGTGTGTGATCTGATAGTAATAGTGTCTGTTGCAGTGCCCAAATTCATTGCACCCCTACAAAGAGTACTGCTGGCATGACAAAATTTGCTAGGACAAGTATGGCAGCATTAAAAAGAGGCAAAACAAACAACAACAGGACAGACTTTAAAGGCCACTGCCCACTCATGTAGACTGCAGCTTTGTTCCACACAGTCCCTAAAAAGAATACAATCTGATAGGAGAAAAAATAGTCACATTTCATTTCTGTAGTGTGTTTAACTTTGACATTCTTTTGCTTTAAAATCAATTAACCTACCTCTCCCAGAAAAGAAAACGAACTGCATTATAGCTATGATGTAGCTTATGTAGAAGTTTTTATTCACCCACTAACCCTCATGCAACAAAAATCCTAACATTGAACAGTTACAGTCTATGACTTTAGTTATACCGACCTATATTTGAGCAGCTGTACCTAGCTAACATCAAATATATGTTACAATTACACCACTTTGTGTTTCCTTTTGGCAAGTTAAGTTTTCTTTGTGACTTGTAGTCAGATTTATTATGAAGTGTGTACAGTTCAATGAAAATTCCTGTCTAACTACCATGCTATTCATAAGTTTTTAAAAATGTAATGATGCAATCAATCCAACTTTCACTTTTCACTATTAAAGCCAATGCACACCATAAGAAGAAACAACATTAGATGCATCTCTTTCATGGTAGGATTTGACCTCTATTGATTAGCACATCAATTTTTGCAGGAAAACTTGCTTGTTTAATGGTTAAATGGATCATATTTGCTGATTGTCTTCTCCGCGTGTATGCCCTCTGGACTCACAACATCCTTAAATATTCAAAGTGTCAACATGCTTTGAAAAGGGACTGTAGAAATGCACTGTGAGGTTCCATATTCATTCAGTCTCAGGGGTGTTGTGAAGTTTAAATTAATTAGTGTCTGGAAAGCAATTTGAAATCCTCAGATGAAAGGCTTTGTATAGGCCAAATTCTGAGCTATTTGATGTAACTCAGTCAGAAACTGGCCCCTGTAGTGCAAAGAATTATCAATGAATCACAGTGATTTGTTATTATAATATCTAATTAGCTCAGTTTACAAGTCAAACTTTAATTTTGCTGACTGCAAGCACTGCTAGCCCACACTGGGACTGAAAGTCACAGTGGGGTCCTTCTGTCTCCATTAATAAAGATGCTGCAATCAGAACTTAGCTGACAAATTTTGCTGGTGATGTGTGAACTGGAAAGAATCCAACTCCCTCTCCCATAGCTGTGTAGCCCCTGCACGGTTTGCTGTACTGAAAACTGGTTTCTCTTAGAAGCAAATATGATGTGAAGACACGTGGGGCCAAATTCAGACTTCAGATCCATGGGTGTGTCTTCCATTTAATTCAGTGGGAGCTACACATCTGTATCTATGGGTAGAATTTGCTCTTTGGGAGAAGATCTGCTGCATAATTAGATGCTATTTTTACACACTCACTTTACTGACCACAATTGTGCTTTAGATTCTAAAACATAATTTTCTAGATCTGCCTTATTCTAATTTTGCATCCAAGTACTGGATTCAGAAAAAAATGTCTGAACAATAACCAATTGCTGTTGATCTAAAGTATTTACATGTCCCCCACTTCTGAAGTTCCTGAACACCTCAGAATGTATCTTCACAACACTTCTATGAGGTAGGGAATTACATGGTCAAAGTCACACAGGAGTGGCAGAGTAGGGAACTGAAGCCAGGTCTCCTAAATTCTAGGCTGCTGCCCTACCCACTAAACCATCCTTCTACATATACCACAGGCTCAGTCGTCAGTGGCGCCAGTGCCAAGTAATGAGAAACTGCCCTAAAGGGACAGCGAAGGATTCCCCCAACACAGAGGAATCTTTGAGTGTCCAAAGCCAGCATGTTCAGGTCTATGCCACCTGTATTCTCCCCACTCTCCTCTGCACAGAAGGCATGTCAGGGTTGTGCCAGAGCTGGAAAGGGGCAGAGCACATTTTGCCGAATCTTTGGCTGGCTGAGTGTCTGGCTGCAACCAGGGTAACTTAGGGCAGCCCCGAGACAGCTCATTTCAAACCCACCAGCAAGCCCATGATCAGGGAAGCAGGAAGGTGACTTAGAGTTTGTGCTAAGTTTAAACTCGGTAGAGCCGAGGACTGAGCCCCATGTATTTCCCGAGGTTTCTAAAAGCATACTTTAGAATGGAAGTAACAGGGTTTGCTTTCCAAAACAGAAAATCAACTTCTGCCTATATTAAAATAGGATTCTTTTGTTAAACTTGTTTGAATCAGGGAAGATATTTGAGACTAGGGAGATGTACAGAAATGAACTCTCAAATGCCATGTCTCTTTTGTGAATGATAAATTTAGCCCTCACTGTAGCTAGCTTTTAAAAATCTGCTTCATGTCAGCTGCCAAGAGGAAAACAGATAGTAAAACCATTCCACATGCATAAGGAGGTGTGACACATTTAGGGTGACCAGATGTCCTGATATAATCAGGACCATCCTGATATTAGGGACTTTGTCTTATATACACAATTATACCTCCCTGCAAAAAAAAAAAAAAAAAAAAAAAAAAGGGGTCCCAATTCTTCACACTTGCTATCTGGTCACGCTAGGTATATTCTGCTTTTGGATGCATCAATGCAGCTCCCACTGACCCTTAATAATTAATATAATACCAAGAATTGTGTATTATGTCAGAGTGCCCCAAAAAAGCTTATGTATTAAAAACCCAGTTCCAAGGCAAGAAGGCTGAGAAACACTGATCAATATTAGACATTAATGTTCTAATCTGTGAATATTGTTTTCTTGTTGTAAACCTTGACTAGAAGTAATGACCTTGCCTTAAAGAGCAGTTCTGTTCTGAAAAGCAATTGTCTAAGATGGCATTATGGTGTTCCATGTTTCTTATCTGTCAGTGATTTCTAAATTTGCTCAGTTTTACAAGTAAAACATTTTTACATCAGAGTGCTGTCAACTCAACCTGGCATCTGAGAATCAAGCTGGCTTTTACCCATGTCATGCATCATCAACAGTAATGAAGGTCCTGGAAGTCAAATTATCTCCTCAGTGACACTTGTGCAACTGTATGCTTTCAAATTATTCCCACAGTGACACCTTTACAAACCCTTACTTAGCTCTTGTATGCCACTTTTCATCCGAAGATTTCTAAGTATTTTGCAAAGAAGGATCAGTAACACTAGCTATGCACTATGCACAATATTGTGCATACCCAAGTGTAACTGTTTGGAATTTAGTAAACAATTCTGTTGATAATACATTAGAAGGAAATGTAATCCATCTCTCTCTCAGCTGAATTGGTTCTGAAGGGCTAACAGGAGTAAAAAGTATTAAAAGCCCTATTTTTTTTACTTAAGTCAGCAGATATAGTTCTGCATACACATACAAAGCATAGTTATTGAGTAAGAAGGTCCCATTTTCACATAGTTGCTTTTCCGAACAGAACTGCATATTACTAGCAAAAGTAGATGGCTCCCTAAGTGGAGCTGAACAAATGATTTTTCTGTTTGGTCACTGAAAAATTTCACCGTTCTCCATCCCTAAATGCCTCATGAACATTCAGATAGGAATCCTCGTCTGTGAATGTGAATAAAACTTACAAATAGTAAATATCAAAATCCATGTAACAATTTTTCTTAGTAGACTCTGAAACTGGAAACTATTGAAATGCAAATTTAATTTTAAATGAGATTGGGAAATAGTGGGCAAGCGAGACTAGCAGGGTTGGAATGGGCCAGAGCAGAATGTTGATACTTCTTGTACTGGTTCTTCTATCTTACCATTTGTTGACAGAAGGGAGTGGGCTGCATTCTGCTGTGGTAGCCACTTGATCTTGTTTATTTTTTCCTCTATCTCCAAACTCTTCAAATAATCAAATTCAGGCTCATGGCTCTGGAACGTGCTGTAAACATTGTACTCCCCCTGATTGTAAGGCTCATTTTTACTCTGTGAAGAACATGGAGAAACAAAAATGTGTCTGATGATGTCAGTATTTTATCTCCAGCTTCTGAGCTGACTGAGGTAAGCTAGGAGCCATCATAAATATAACAATCCTAGGAAATATTTTATTTTAAATTTAAAACATGCTGTTGACAGATTGCTTTACTATGACAAATAAAATAGTTTTTCATGGGCATTAAAATGATGTTCAATACCCAGAAAAAAGCCTTTGTTAAGATCACTAGGAATGCAAAAGAGGAATTACTTCAGTAAAAATCTTATTAAAATGTTGTGGTTATTAAAAAAATTGCATGTGACAATCTGGGAATTCAGAATTTAATTTTCACAAGCAGCCTTAACTCTGACCATTCCCTGCATTCCTGGAAATGTTTAGCCACACCCCATAACTTATCTGCATTACATTTCTACATGCCCCAGGATAATATCCATACTCCCCATACTAATGTACAAACTACATTCTTCCAGAGAGGAGCTACAGACCCTCCTCCAATCCATCCTTCTTTTATCAACCTGCTGTACACTCCTTACTTCTCATCGTTCATGTACAAACCAAAGACAGACCTGTCCTCTCCCCTCACAGGTCCCCATTACACGACAGTCACAACACTTTCACAGTCTATCCGCAACATAGAAGGTCTGATTCTCATGAACACTCTCTGGCAGTGTAAAGGGACTCTAAAGTGGGTGTAAATAGGTGAGAATCAGGCCAAGATTCACCAGCCAGCTTTCACTATCTACCTAATAAGCCACCAAGGAAATCACAAATACAAATCTGTCCAAACCATCCTGTCTCTACAGAGTACACAGACTGCTATACCTGACTGATTCTCCCCCTCAGTGTGCATCTGAGACTGAAGTATCCATATATAACCAAGTCTTCTGGCTAACCCCCTCCACTGGCCAAATACTGGCTGAGATGACAGTGTACAGCATTCTCCAAAACAAAACCAGGCAGGGTATGACACTACTTATTCCATAGTTATGATACAAAGGAAGGTGAGCAGAATTTGAAAAGGAAGAGCGAAAGATATAAGAGGGATATTATAACATATAGCTTTGTGGTGTTGTTGCTACTAAATGCAGAACTAAGCTTGTTTGTGGAACCTTAACTATGAATTTCAGACTAAACAAGAAACAAAAAACAAAAACAGCTTTTCCTTAACTTAGAAGTTCTGTGCTTCCAATTGTTGGCCTTGGATAGCAACTAGGAATAGCAGGGAAATTCTGAATTAAGACTCTTATCTTCTTTTATTCACCTAATTGAACCTAAATATTACAGACAGAAAGGATAACACGCTTTCAAACAAGCCTCTTTTCTGAGACCCCTTTGTCACTCAATCCCTATAGCAAAACACCTTGGGTGATGACATTCTGGCCCCACTGAAGTCAATGGAGGCTTGCCCTTGACTTCATAGGGCCAAGACTTCACCCCCTGTTTTCTCAGCCAAGATCCGTGATCTCCACAACAGAGCAATTAATGGAATGCTCCATGGAGTGACACTGACCTCCCACCCCTCTCAAAATAGGTAACATTCAGTTTTTGTTACTCTTGATAGCATTCAAAAAATCTATTAGATCTCAGCAGTGTAAAAAAAAAGCTTTGTGAGCAATTACGGCAGGAAGCAGTAACAAACATACCTCAGGTTCCCTTTGGAATATAACAACCCGACCTCCCTTGTCCCCAGTAGCCAGTAGTTCTCCAGTGTGATTGAACTCAACTGTAGAAATAATATCAGCTAGAAGGAAAAAGTGAGAAAAGGCAACCATTAGAAATGTCAAGAGCTCCATACAAACACAGGAAATTAGGGACTCAAAAGATATACAGAGGAATGCAATAGCAAGCTACCCATTTAAAAGTTTGCCCTGCCATTAAAATCTGGCAACTGAAACAAACTGTAGACTTCTAGAGGCGAGATCATGATTTAAGGCACTGCCTGCATTTTGAGAGTAGAGGGATTATGCACCAAGAAGAGCACAGAGGTAGCACAGAGAGTCTCTTGCTACAGACTCAGCTGTGTGACAAATTATATTCCTCACCCTCTATGAGGCGTTTAGCACTCCTCGAAACACAGGAATCCCCCTATCCTGATGTGCAAGGAGTGCAAATGCCTAGTCCCTCCACAGAGGCACGAATGCAAGACCTTGAGTCTCCTTATGTCCTTTGCATGCTGTGCACTACAAAACATGGTCTGTTCCAGGGCAGAGTTTTTGGCAGATCATTTCAACACCATAAAAACATATCATGAGAAATTTCTAAAACACCAGTTTTTGTTTGTTTTTAAATATAGAACCCCAAGAACAATTTTTTGAGGAGACGTGAATGTCATCAAAACTGCAGGCCAGCCTATTTTACAAAACACTGTAGAGTTGAAATGAAAGGGGAGAAAAAGAGCTAGAAGGCAGGAAGAATAAATTACTTCACTCGCATGAAAATAAATGTTAGAATCATAATCTGCAGTTAATCCTCACTATTAGCATAATTTAAATTAAAATGTCCAGTGTGATGATAAATTAGGGATACATCATATATACTGAGTTATAGTTAAACATATAGGATATTACCCACATAAACATGTTTCGGTTTACTATAATTATCAACCTTCAGTGATATGGGACAGATTTTTAAGAAGTGCTTAGCACTCAACAGCTCCCATTTAGGCACCTAAAGGAGTAGTCAGATTTTCAAATCATCTCAGCGTCCATCAGCTCACACTGAGAACAGTGGGAGTTAGTGGCAGCTGAGCCCTATTGAAAATCTGGACACCCTTTAGGTGCCTAACCAGGATATGTAACCAGCTCTTTTGAAAATCTGGCCCTAAACATAGTCACTAAAATTCAAAAGTATCTAAATGAGAAGTAAAAGTTCCATTTATTTGATGCACTTTATGAATTAAAAACATCTGTTCCCATTATTCTTTTACTAATCCAGCCCCAAATTTCTATTGCCAGTAGCTTTCCCTGTGAGCTATTAAAAAGCTAGGGGGAGGTATACAATTACTAATGTAAAAAGAAAACCTTGTCCTATTACTGAGAAACAGAAAGTTTATTTAAAAATAAACCCTTAAATATAGGATTTTTGAAAATAAGATATATGATAGGCTCTATTATGATTTTTCAGTTTGAGTGGGTGTATGTAGGTGTTAGTATTTCATAGACTTCAGGATGGGACCACAAGTGTGTCACTTATCTTCAGCTGTATAAAATGTGTGGCTACTCACTAATCCTGGGAGGAGTCGAAAGGGCAGGGAATTAATTGTATTCCGTTAATATGGGCATGTGTGTAGGAAAAATATCCTTAGGCCAAGAAGTGCAGAACTCTAAGTGTGCCTAATATGCTTCCTAAAACTATGGGCAAAATGCTGCCAATGCTGGAACATTTTCAATTTAAGAATCTGTCTGGGAAATCAAGGGCTTAGCAGAATCCACTGCTTCTGTTGGACGCGTTATGTCCTCTGCACAGTGCTGAAAGCGCGCCAGGCTGCAATAGGTTGTAGACCCAGGAAATAAAATATGTACAACTCAAGTTGTACATGCGTCAACAGTGTGCTCTTATGAGTCCACAGTGTGCCCTTGTTGCCAAGAAGGCTAACGGCATATTGGGCTGCATTAGAGCATTGCCAGCAGTTCGAGGGAAGTGATTATTAGCCTCTATTCGGCGCTGGTGAGTCCACATCTGGAGTCCGGCATCCCCCCACTACAGAAAGGATGTGGACAAATTGGAGAGAGTCCACCGGAAGGCAACGAAAATGATTAGGGGGCTGGAGCACGTGACTTATGAGGAGAGACTGAGAGAACTGGGCTTATTTAGTCTGCAGAAGAGAAGAGTGAGGGGGGATTTGATAGCAGCCTTCAACTACCTGTATGGGGGGTTCCAAAGAGGATGGAGCTAGGCTGTTCTCAGTGGTAGCAGATGGCAGAACAGGGAGCAATGGTCTCAAGTTGCAGTGGGGGAGGTCTAGGATGAATATTAGGAAAAACTATTTACCTAGGAGGATGGTGAAGCACTGGAATGGGTTACCTAGGGAGGTAGTAGAATTTCCATCCTTAGAGGTTTTTAAGGTCAGGCTTGACAAAGCCCTGGCTGGGATGATTTAGTTGGGGTTGGTTCTGCTTTGAGCAGGGGGTTGGACTAGATGACCTCCTGAGCTCTCTTCAAACCCTAATCTTCTATGATTCAAGCCAGGTCACTGAGAGTGCATTCGCTTACCTCCTGGGCCATAGCAGCCATCAAGTCTGCTCCAGGACAGGCAGAGCTCTCCCCCTCCACACCTCAGGAGCCAAAGCTGTTCTCATGGGAGGGGACGGAGAGCAACAAGAGCCCAGCAGATCAGAGCAGCTCCAATTCTTTCTCCCCACCCTCTTCTGTGAGTAACATATCAACTCCTTTGCTTCTCTCCCCCTCCGGCAACCCCCTGGGAAGAGGGGAGGAGGGATGAAGAATCCCTGGAGCTACCCCGTCCAGTCTGTAAGGTGGGAGGGGACCCTGCTAGAGCCTCCCCCACAGGCCTGGGAGAGGAGGGGGTGAAGAATCCCAAAAGGAACAGAAGTGAGGCTGAGGGGAGGGGTCAGAATGAATTTATGTGGGGATTGGGAGGGCAGAACAGAGAAGGGGGCAGAATTGATAGGGGCTGGGGACAGGCAAATGTGATGTCGCTTTAATTTCTGTAGACAATGATAAACTGTCCCCCCAACCACACAGCCACTGTTGTCTGATCACTTTCAGCACTGTGTGAGCATATATTGGGACACACGGGATTTCCTCTGCATCCAAGATGACAAATTCTGGTTTTTGCCCCAGCTAATAAAAATGTTGATGCAAATTATAAATGATGATGTGGGGATGTAAATGTTGGGTTTACCTGATACTTGAATTTTGCCTGCTGATCTGAACTTTAATATAACAGAGCATTAGGGCCTACTGTATTTGGGCCCAATCCAAAGCCCATGAAAGCCAATGGCATTTGACTTTTATGTGGACTTCAATGGGCTTCGGATCAGGCCCTTTGTTAGTAACTGTCCTAAAAGCGTGGGTCTCACTGCAGCATAGGGAGAGAGGGTGCACTGCCCAACCTGTGGGGTGGGAGGTTTTGAGGTAAAATTTATTCCTGCTGAAGGATTTACTTTTCACTTGCTCGTCAATTTTTTTTTGTGTGTGGAAGTTTTCTGACCAGGTCTTTTGGTGTGTAATATCCTCTTTTGTAAAGAGATATTTATGAATTCTTTTCTCCTGGATCCTGTGAAATTCCTACTGACTTTAACAGCAGCAGCCTTTTATTGGTAAGATGATATATGCATGTGCTCATCCATGTGGGACCTCATCCTAGCCCCACCACATAGACAGAACTCTTGTTGAAACCAAGAGTGGAGCAGTCTCAAGATGGGGACCCCTGGCTTAAGTGCGCTGAGTAAAATATGACAATCAAACACACTTTGGGAGAGAGAGCGAAAGAGATGGACAAAAAATAAAAATAAGGGGCTTTTTTAGGATGGGCCAATTACTGATCCCCCGAGTAACAACTGAGTAACAGTAAATTATTCTGGGCACTGGTCCTGAGAAAGGACTGAATTAAAACAGATTAATGGCAGGAAGATTCAACCATTTAGTTCAGTGCACTTGCTAATGGCTCATTCACAGAGTGTTTCCTTGAATTGTTTGCATGATATAGAGAGTCTCACAATAACACACTATAATATGTGCAGGGCCTAAGCCAATGCCCATTGAAATCAATGGGAGTCTTTCTGCTAACGTCAATAAAAACTGGATCAGGAGACAATGACGTGTTGGTATGATAATAATACTGTGCATAGGTTAGGTGTCAATTTCTGGAGCAAAGGTTTAAAACTGTAGCAGTTTAAAAAAAAATAGCAACAAGTGTCCATGAAGTACCATCGCTAATGATGGCATTTGGGGGTAAAACTCAAGCCTGATCTACACTTAAAACTTAGGCTGACATAGTGAGGAGTGTAAAAATCCACCTGCCCAAGTGCCATAGCTATGCCGACCTAACCCCCACTGTAGATGCAGCTAGGTCAATGGAAAATGCTTCCGTTGACCTAGCAACTTTGCTTGGGGTGGTGGATTTCCTACAGTGACAGAAAAAACCCCTCTGATCGCTATAGTTGGTGTCTACACTATGGAGTTACTTACGGCACCTGTTACTACACTGCTGTAACTATGCCGCTGTAGAGCCCATAGCACAAACGTGGCCTCTGAATCTCGCAGGTGCTTTGGTTAATGCCTTTCCCCCTAGCAATACTATGATGGTAATTCTGAACTAGAAATTCTGAATATATTTAAGACAATTAAGATGTTCTGGTAAAGAGCAGAGAAAATACTTCTTCATTGTATTCTATTGAGCATGTTAGTAAAGAATTAGCCCTGTATTAAATAATTACCTTTATTGATCCAGTAAATAAGAGATGAAGACGATCGCCACACAAAAAACACCCCTATGCAATATCTGTCCAGCAAGTAAACATTAGTCATGCCGCTTTCATAAAGATTAGGCAGTTTGGCTCTTTCCAAGGGAGGGAGTAGGATCAATTAGAAAAGCCTTTTATACACTTCCAGATAATTCCTCTTGGAACATCCCCCTGCACATCCGTCAGTGCTTTGGGAGCCCCAGACACTGCGGTAACATCCTAGGTGGACTCCTACACTGAGAACTATTACTGCAGTGCACAGTGTGGCTAAGTGGCAGATTCCCCCTTCAGAATATGTAAATGTTCCATGCTG